ATAATGCATATTTTTTGTCTTTTTCTTATATATTAAAAATAAAAAATATAATAATTTCTAATAAATATCTATCTTGCTTAGAAACGGTTCTTGTTGTGTAATAATATTATGAATTATAATATCATATGTGTGTATGTATGTATGTGTGTGTGTGTAAACATTAATATTTATTTATAAGAATTGTTCTAAATATGTAAATTATAAAAAGAAATATCACACGCATATATGAAATTAACGTCATACAAAATTATACTGTTTTTTATTATGATATTATCATGCAATATTTTGTTGAATTATAAAGTTGTTGGTAAAGTAAAATGAAACTCCATGTAAAATATTTTTAATATTCCAATCAAATATTTCTATCAAGGGCAGAGATTAAAAGATTAAAGTGAAAAGTATCAAGCTAAAATTAAAAATAGAAGTAATAAATATATAAAAATTAATATAAATTAATATAAATTATACGTATCTAATTGTTTCTATTTTTCATCATACAAATTTTTTATTTAAAATAACTTATAATGTACAATTACAATGTATATATACGAAATATATATAAAATATGTATAAAACAAAATATATAATATAAATAATATATAAAACAAAATTATACATATTATAATTAATATACATATCTCTTTAAAAAGAATTTATTGCAACAATAATTATTTTTATATTTACACATTTTATTACAATTAAATTTAAACTTATCATCCAAAAATCTATGATTTATCAATCAAATTAAAAAAAATACAAAGGAAAAAACAGAAAGTTCAGTTTTGTTCAGTGGAAACTGCCACAAAGGGAATCAATGATAGTGAAAGTGCATATATTGAACTTGTCGACATGTTCTTTTCTTATGGTATGTATCTTCCGGGTCTTATTGCCACATTACATAACGCCCTCCATGTAAAGACGAATAGCGGAGCCGTTTAACTGACTGATTTAAAACATTCGTCGATCATAAATGATAGACTAATGTGATTTAAATTGAACAGAAAGTCATTTCGAATCAGATTTATGGAAAAAGAGAGAGAGAGAGAGACAGAGAGAGAGAGAGAGAGAGAGAGAGAGAACCGTTGATCAGGAGAACATGGACATGTAACAAATTTTTCAAAATCAAAATCACTTGAAGTCTCTAATTCAGCAACGTAATTAATCGACAATCAATAACGACGATTAAATTCTTGAAACTTCGTTATAGATAGAAAAATAACATTAATGAATAAATTTAAGCATTGCAATTAACGAATAGATCTTTCAACATTGCCTATCTTAATTAGATCTGTTTATTACTCAATTGAAAAGTTCATCATTTCGAGTTGTTATCGACATGACGAGATATTCATCAATATGGCTGATCTAGCAGAAATTAATTGTAATTCAATTGATAATGAATGAAAATAATGAAAATAAAAGAATGAATTTAAAAATTTTTTTTATGAAAAATTTTATATCTATACTTGTAAATAATTTCTCCATAGTTCATAGTATCATAATTTTAACATATTATCATTTTAAAAAAAATTTTAATATAATTTCTTCAATAAAACTTTTCTGCCATAATATTTTCTTCTTTTATTAAATTTTTCTTAAAAGATTAGATGATTAGCTTCCGAAATAAAAATAAAAACTTCAACCTCATCTCATGTATTCGAAAATTTTATAATTTTGTAAAATATTCTCTAGACAATTTTTGTCTATTCGTGTATATATTTTCCGAGAAAAAAAGAATAAGAATTGAATTGAATTGACATATTTTATATATTATATAATTTTATATATTATATAGTCAGAGTTATAATAAATAATATAAGATTCTTAGCTTCTATTGGTGACTATTGCAGTAAATATTAATATTGGATATTAAAAATATTTAAAAAATGAAAAAAAAGTATTGATAAAGATCTTAACATTCAACTAATAAAGCTATTCTGAATTAATGACCTAAATCGATGATATCTTAAAATAACCAAAATATTTTATGTTATATCTTTCATAATCTTTTTAAAATTTCAAATATCATCTTATTGAAGTTATTAATATAATAACACATGGAAACAATGTTCTCGTATTGAGCTCGATGATATCATCAAATCCCTCAAAAAAGTATAATAAATGTATGAAATTGTATAAAAATGTATATACATCAATCATAGCAAAGAATGAAATCATAATTGAGAGAAAAGAAAAAAAAATGGAACGAGGGAGACTTTTAGTCGGCAAAACGGAGCTCGTTAACGGTCATATACCCATGGCCAATAGTTCTTGACGTTCGTAGAATTACATGAAGACCTTGATACTTTTTATCTTTGCTCACTTAGTCCTCCCTCTTATAAAGAGGCGACCACTTCACCGTTCCGCGGAACGTAAAAGATCGCGACGCGCGATCATCGCGATATACCATTAAAGGTGTCCTAAACGCACGTGGATTATATAGTTTCCAAGGAGACCAATTCCATGTTTTACGGTTCTTATTTTTTTATTTTCAGATCATTAACGTTCTTTAATCGTATTCGTTCATATCCAACTGTCAAATCATGGTTTTTCTTATGACAACGGTTAATTGTCTAATCATTGAAAAGAAGTATATGCATACTTTTCTGTTAGAATTTAAATTGGTAATATTATAAGGAATTTAATTAATTTTAGAAAAGATATTGGCCTAAAAAGTTTTAATTATATTGCTTTATAATAATTAATAATATTTCTTTATAAAAAAATTGAATTTAAAATATAATGAAAAAAATTTAGAATTATGAAATAATTATAATTACTTGTAATATTTATATTTCTTTATATTTCTTAATTTTATAATTATATGATTATTAAATAAATAATTGGAGCTACAACCATGCATAGCATAAGCAATAATATAAGGAATTAAAAAAGAATTTATAAAATTTTTATTGCTTTTTAAGTTGGATTTTCATTATATTATGATGAATTTATATAAAATATTTGTATCATAAAAAATACGTGAATTGATTAATTAATATTTTCCAAAAATAAAATTATAACTATTAAGTTTTGTAAAAATTTACATAAGTAAAATTTATGATTCAATGTCATTGGATTCTCTACGAATTTTTTTAAAATTTAATAATTTAAAATAAGAACATATTGCTGAAATAAGATCAATATTAAACATTTTTATCAAATACTTTTCAACTTATTAATTAATTAAAACAATTTATTAATTAAAACAATTTATATTTATAATTAATAAATAACATTTAAACTAAATATCTATTTTGTCATAAAAAATATTTAATCATTATTAAAAAATATTCAATCATCACAATTATTCTTTGTTTATTTATCTTTCAACTGTTAAAAATTAGAGTTAATGCGTTAACTATTAGAGTTAAACATGTTAAAAGCAGATAATTAATTTTTATTAAAAAATTCACAAGATGAATAAAAAAATACTATTAATATTTCATTTTTTATTATAAAAATAAATAATATTTGTATTCTCATTGTTAATATTTCTTAACAAATAGAACAGTTTAATCAAATAAATCAGGTAAATACGCTTCTTAAAACGTTTTTATTTCTCGAATATTAGATGGATAAAATAAAATATGATTTTAATAATTCAAGCATAGTATTTCATTCGACTAGCGAAGATTACATAATAAATCTTCTTGCGGATACATAATATAATAGATTCGTGGCATTCGATTTCAGAATTTCCTAATCGAATCGATTATACCAGTATTGTATATACAGAAATATTCTTCTGATTGCATATTAAAAAAAGATCTAATTGAAATTTAATATTATAGAAAAGCATTGATTATAAATAAGCATTGTTCTAAATAGCAACAATAGAGTGTAATGTAGCTGTTAGTTAAATTATTTAAGCTCAAAGATTTCTGTTTTTTAATTAATTATTCAATAAATGATTAATTAATAATGACAAATAGTATACCATTTATATAATATTTCATAATTTTCCAAAAGAATTTTATTTGTTATCGATGAATCAATGTTAATCTAACTGTGTGCAACGCAATTAAAATGATCTGATTTAAGAGAATTAATCATGTCAAGATATCAGAAAAGAAAGATGAAATATACAAATTTTATAAAACAATGAATAAGAAATGAATAAAAATAATTTAGTGAACTCTGAAGTGCTAGAAGTGCTGAAGCATAAAATTCGAAATAATAAATGTATTTCAGATTTTTTTTTAAATTGTTTTATTTAATAATATTTCGCTTGGATTATAGATTTAGATAGAATAAAATTCTATTCAATAAAAAAATTATTTTGATTGATATTAAATTTAATATAAAATTTTTCAATTTTTATTATTAATCTTCAATATTTAATTATTGCTATGTTTAGAAAAGATTAAATTTTAGAAAAATAAAAATTAAAATATTTTAAATCAATCAATTTTTCATCTTCGTATCTTAATACTTTTAAAGGGAATAAAAAAACACATAAAAAATATGTTCTATATAGTTCTATGTAGTTCTGTATATTTTTTAAACTAGAAATAATTTTTGGATAAGATTCAATAATTAATATAATAAATAATAATTAATATAATAAATATTTTAATTTTAAATTAGAAATAATTTTTGGATAAGATTCAATAATTAATATAATAGATTTTAATTTTAAATTAAATGATTTTTGGATAAGATTCAATAACTAATATAATAGATATTTTCTTCGAAAAATTTAATATTTTTTAAATATTATTCCAACAAATCATTATTGCACCATTTCAGAGGAAATAATTAATTTTAATAATTTTAAATTTAATAATATTTAATTTAAATTTAATAATAATTAATTAGAATAAAATTAATTATTATAACAAGCAATATTTAGAAAACATCTGTCATTTTTTAAAAAAATCGACAAATCTAAAGATTTTAATTTGAATAAGTTAAATAAAATGCATTAATCTAAACACGTTTTTATTTACAAAGACTTGTAACTGTATATGAAAAATGAAAAGAAAAGAATGGAAGAAAAGAAGAAAAAAAAAGAAAAAAAAGGAAAAAAAATTGTTATGTTCTTCAAGAATATTTTTGAATTTCCATTTGAATCATAAGATTAAATGTTAAACATAACCGACCTCAACGAATCTTCCTTGACATTCTATTTGTTATAGTTTTAATACACATAGTTGCAAAGTAGTTTTTCCCTGAATCGTTGAGCATATTCAGATAGTCTTGATGAATTCGATCAGTCACGCCATACATGTCAATGGCAAGCGATTATAAAGCGTGCAAGTAACATGCACTCTGCTTAGATACGCTTACCTGAAACAGAAGCGGAAGAAGAGATGAATTGCGGATTAAGTGTTTCATAAATTGAGACAACCGTTCTTCCGAACAATATTTCATCATGATTGTTATTTAAATTTTTTTATATTTAAAATATAATAATATAGCATTAAATTCTAAGATTTGTTTTTAAAAAAGCTCTAAAAAACAAATTAATTAATTGGTGGAATAATAACAAAATATTAATTTATTCGTAAGACATTTTTAGAAGATTTTTCTTTGAGATCAAATAAAAAATATAAAAGTTAATATAAAGATATCGATTGAGACTTATTTATTAAGTTATAAACAATTTAAACTTCTATTAAAACGAAATAAAGGCAAAGTGAACTAAAGAGTAACGGAAATAATGCAAACTTAAATTACTTATAATTGAATAAATAAGTCTTTACTGAAATTTTTATAATTACTATATAATACTAACTTTTATATTTATTTTGATTTCCAGATCCTTCAAAGGAATGTCTTGAATATATTATTATATTTCATTATTCACAAGATCATTCTAGAAAATAATCATTTATTATTTTATTATTCAATCTTTTATTTTCATGAAATATATGATATCATATTCTTAAAATTCAATATTGAATTACTAATAGTAAACAAAACAAATCATTATTAGATAAATTTTTTATTTAAACTATATGATATTGTTGAATTTATTGTTACGATTTATTTGATTTTGGATTGGTTGATTTTAAAAATAATATAAATACATATATTAATACAAAAAACATATTTTAATTTGCATTCTGTTTTATATAATAAAAATAATTAATATGATTCGTTGTATAAAATAGATATAGAATACGAAGTATAAGATTTTTTACAATTAAATTCATTTCTAAGTTATTTTTCTTAGAATCAAATTTTTTAAAGAGTATAAAAAATATTCCTTTTCATCAATTATTAATTATTAAATTAAAATATAAAATAAGAAAAAATATATATATTACATAAAAGTATATATATTATATATATTATATATATATTCTAAAGAAAGAATATATTGATTGAAATAGAGGATAATATATAATATATATTCTTCAATAAAGAAGAATATATTGATTTAAAATCTATTTGTAGAAAAATAATATATTTGCTATTTTGAACTAATAAATAAATAATAATAATAAATAATAATAAATTTGAACTAAAATACTGCATTGCATAATATTAGATGAAAGATTTAAATTATTATAAAAATAATACAAATTAGTAATATTTAATATATATATTATAATATATATACTATATATATATATATATATTTTAATATATATGTACTAAACTTATTTAATCTAATTTAAATTAAATTCTTTTGTCGAATTTAAATTTTACTAAACTTATAATAGTAAATGTATTAATTTGCAAGAAAAGAAAATCTTTCAGAAAAAAAAAGAGAAGAAATTTCTTTTATGGTCAATTTGCACATCGTGTTATATTAAAGCAATTAACGCAACATAACGCGGAATGGAAGAATAACACCATAAAAAATGGTTCATTAGGACAATGATTCTTCGAAACAGCCTAACTTTGATCAAAGAAAAAATCCGCATTCTCGATGTTTTTTTTGTTTATACGCAAGTCTTTTATTCTTATTATTATAATTGGCATAATTCTTATTATAATTGGCAAAAAATAAAGACTACTGTAAAAAAAAAAAAGAGAAGAGGAAAAGGGAAAAAGAAGAGAAGAGAAAAGAAAAGGAAAAACAAAAAAAAAATAAGAGCAGAAAAGAATAGAAGAGAGAAAAGGAAAAAAGAAAAACGAAGAGAAAAGAAGAGAAATGAAAAGGAAAAAAAAAAGGAAATAGAAGAGAAGATAGGAAAGAATAAAACGAATGATGAAGACGACAATGATAGGAGACAGCTATGCGACCGCCGTACCGTGCAGTGGAGAAATCACTGCGATGCAGAAAGAGAGGAACGAATAGTCAGGATGGGTAAGGTAACAGTCAGGCAATCAGGTTGCGGCGCGGGATTCGCAGCAGCATTATTATCTACTTGGGTGGACAGGTGCCAGGGGGTTTGTAGAAGTCCGCGTGCGGCATGGTCAGTGGAAGATCGTTATCAAGAGGGATGAGAGCGGTGAGAAGAGGAGTAGGGGGGAGGGCACAAGAAGGAAGACGAGCAACAGGTCTGAGAATTAGAAGGCAAAGGGAAGAAAGAAGAGGAAGAAAAGATGGACAAAGATGAATAACGAATAGAGTAGGAAACGAAAGGATGAAAAGGAGGAAAAGAGGAAAGACAAAGGAAAAGGAAACGAAGAAAGAAGATAGGATAATGATAGTAGCATAGGGAAGAAGAAGGCGTAGATTCATACTATTAGATGGTTGTTGCCGACGCATATAAGCCACGGTAAGGGAAGGCAGCGGATAGCAGAAGGAATAAAAGGTCTTAGGTAGCATAGTTGCACGCACATTCCCAGTTCACAGCCTTGACTCCGGCGAGGAACGATTCAGCGAGCCGACAGCAACGACGCCAGAAGCAGGCAACCACTGCCACATAGAGAATCGAACCAAACTCGGAAAACGAATCAAAGAACGGCTATAGCCACAATGGAGAACGAATGGGTCATAAGATGGACGAAGAAAGGAACGAAAGAAGGAACCGTAGATAGAAAAAGAAAAATTTTCTAGCTGGCGCGTTCGACCAGGTTATGCTCGTTCACTCGACGATGGCAATTATACGTGGTCAAGCTATCCCGACTAGATTCAAGACCAGATAATCCCATCTGTCGGTTTAAGCGGTCTGCAAACGATCCCGCGAACCATCGGATATTCTCTTTCCAAGCCGATCGATTTTTGTCCTAACGTGCGTTCGCCATGTTCCCTACTCTATCGATTTGGTGTTTAATCGCCACGATACAATTTAAGTTTTGATAAAATGTTGATTCAGATATACTTTATTCATTTGAATCTATTAATTGAAATAAATAAAAAATTTGAATATTTATATGATAATATTATTATAAAATAATAATATTTTAATTAATAATACTAGTATCATATATCATATAATAATTAGTATCATATATAATACTAATATATAATACTATATAACACTAATATATTATAAT